AGATAAGATAAAATGTGTGATAATTTTAGAGATAATGAACGATCCATAGAATTAAAAACAAATAGGATGGGTTACGTAATAATTGAATAGAATTTGGAGGGTTCATATAATTTAAGAGAAACAAGTGAGCGGAAATGTATGAAGGAATGGGTAGTTTAAGAATTGGGTAATGGAAGAGGAATATAATACAAACTAAATATTAACCAAAATAAAACTGGTAACAAAAAATAAAACAAAAAAAACGTATTACCAGGGTAGTAATAAGTTTATTAGTGTCTCTTTTTGAATACATGGATCCGGATTAAGTTTTTTTATCGCGATCGCTTCAGCAAACCGGAGGGCAACCGTACTTCTATGTCTGCTAATAATTTTGAAAGCATGAAAAATATCTATGGTATACCCGGAGCTACTGCACTGTTGAGAGCCGTGGTCCCTCGCAGTCAATTCAATCCTTTACATTCAATTATATCAATTGTTCCACACTATATATATTACCCCAATGCTAAAATTCTAATACATATTTGGTTGTGATCAGCTGACAAGAAACCACGAAATATAATGAATTCATATTATTCTGCATCAATACTTGTTCTGGCTTCACAAAGGGAACTAATTACATGAAATTGTTTATAAGGGTCTGACTAACTTCTCGTAGTTCATCAATGATCATGGTAACGAACAATTCATGAGTTAGATAGTTTATTCCGGAAACCTTGATTATTTTTTTCTTCAGTACTATATTATTAGCATAAGCTTTACGATCATCTATCATCTATCTGAAAGAACGTAACGCACACAAAATATCCCATTCATGAGTAACAAGTATACAGACTATAGTTTATGGATGACTTTTAATCCACTCTAAAGTGATCTTGATTATGTTTACCTACTAACTTGGACTAAATAAGGATTATATAGTAGTATGAGGAATTGGAATTGTGATTTACGATTGACGGTTATGGTTTGGAATAACATTTAGAGTTTTCATCAAGCTATTTAGACAAATGGATGAATGAATTTCGCGCTAAAATCCAAAACCTGTTATTGTAAATCTGATTGATTCGTCCATAAATTATAGCATCGCCACAAATGTTTATCACTAACATAATGAACGTATCATTTTCATGTTTATCCATCTAATATCTAATTTGTCTTCCCCCTACTTTCGTTGTGTATGTGATTCGTTCACTGATCATCAAAATATTCAGAGAATCTATACATAAATGATTGTATCTGGGTAGTAAGTAGACCTTTTTTTGGATGGTAAGAAACTCTTTACCTGATATCATTTTTCTGTCTTCTTCCTTAAGTGGTCCAAATCTTCATGTTCTCCAGTTGTAAGCATCATTTCACAACAGTTATAACATTTAGAAGGGGATTTGTGGAGATTTCAGTTTTTTTTTACAAATTTGAATTCATGAGTCCATTGAAGCTAGACCACCATGGAAAACCTGGAAGCACTGGACGGCCGTTTCGTCTTATCATGGGACTCCTCAGCAGTGCGCATCCACGATCCCGCACTCGCGAGATTCAAACCCATGACCTACCGGTCTCGAGCCAGAGCCCTTAACCGATAGACCACTGAGGCTCGAGACCGGTAGGTCATGGGTTTGAATCTCGCGAGCGCGGGATCGTGGATGCGCACTACTGAGGAGTCCCATGATAAGACGAAACGGCCGTCCAGTGCTTCCAGGTTTTCCATTGTGGTCTACCTTCAATTGACTAATGATTTCGAGTTATAACACTATTCAATGATTAATCTATTGACTATATCAGGGCTTAAGAATAATTTTTGAGAATTAAAGTCACTTACTTACTTACTTACTCACTTACTTACGCCTGTTACTCCCAATGGAGCATAGGCCTCCGACCAGCAAAGAATTCAAGCACCTAACATTAATTCTACTAATTTACAAATCATTTGTAATTTTAAAGTTTTTTAGAAAAAAAATATACAGATAAAGCAAAGAAAACAATGAACAAAGCTTATTTTGACCAACCTATAACAAAAAATATAGGCCATATTTGTTAAGAAACAAAGGAAACAAGGCAACAGAACAAGTGTCACATGACGGTAGTTGGAGGGAAAAAAACAAAGTATTTTCTTCAAGTAAACAAAAACACAGTCACACGACAGTTAGTGTATAACTAACTATCCAACTATGAATACATGGTAACTAGTTCTGTTTTGTTCAGTTATATTTTGTTTTGAAAAGAAAACTAATTATACTACTTAATGGATTTACACAATAAGTCTAATAAATACCCAATCTAAAGTAAACTCAGGTAATCGGTGAATGTCTCTCAAAGAAGTTCATAAGAAGTGGTAAGAGATTTATTTTTACAAAGACAAGAAAACATGGCGAGACTATAATTTATGGACTAGTCAATCAGAAGCGTTTGAGGGATTTCAAGGTCACGGCGCCGATTTCAGTACCTGATGCTTATGTAAAATCGGTTCACAAAGAATTTTAGAGAAGACTTGACAATTAAGCGGCTGCAACAAATGAGACGACTAAGAAGTTCCTATATTTGTAATTGCTGGTATTAATTGACTTGTAGACCTTGTGCAGACTACTGTGATGTTGTCCTTAGATGTAATATACGTTGAAGGAAGACGTTTGCTAGAATGGGAACCTTTATTGCTCGATCTAGATTGAGACTAAGGGATATTATAATAATTGCCGCAAATTGTTTAATAAAAACATCAGTAACATTGGTTGCAATGATAGCAGATGTTATTTAAGCTTCGGCTGTACAGTGGTATGAGTATTATAGGGACATATCCATAATAAAAATGATAAACTTACACAACCGTAGTACACACAAACAATATTGAAGCTATGTGGTCTAGGCTGAGAGGGTTTTTCTGACTTTATCATGGTTCCAGAGATCAAATATTATGGGGCCATATGGATGAGTTCCTCTATCTTATGCATTACGATTTTGGAACCTTTGAACCCTTTTCTAACCTTGATAAGTTTTTAGACCATATAAAAGAAGTGTATCAACTTTAATTCTTTGGTTTTGTATAATATATTTTTACTCTATACTGACTGTTTACTGATTGGCTAGCATTTCTCAAGGTCACATTAGATTCGTTCAAAGGTCGTCCATAAATTATAGTCTCGCCGAAAAGTTGATAAAAACGCTATCAGGATCGTCGATCAGTTTATATACTGCTTAAACAACTTTAAATATTGTCTTCAATACAAAGCAGTTAACGATGAACATCTAGTACATGATAGTACATGAAAGGACTGTTAACAAGTTATATGAATTACGACAGTGCTTAAATTATGAAGGTCCACAATGCAATCTGAATTGTTACTCTATTCTGACGGTCAATTCGAATACACTCAATCTGCTTCTAGTAATATTGAGAATAAATAAAATGAATCGTATTGTATTACAACAATATCCATTATCATCCACTTAGTATTGTTTATTTGAATCTTCCCATCGATGTGTCAGGACTGCAACTGGTCAGTCTCTTATTGGCATATGTACATACTGCGCGTATTGCCTCGATATTGCCTTAATTCACAAGCGAAAGATACTGGGTTCGAGTCCCAGAGTGAACATCAACTCTGAGATGCGGGTACATCCAAAATCCATTATCAGTTCTCATATACTTCACTGTATGACATCCATCATAAATGATCAATTATGGAATGGTTGTGTGTTAAGAGGAAACACGAAGAACATGTGATAAATAATGTATTCATTTTAACTAAATTCATACTACACACATTGTTATTATTGAGTATTTGAACTAGATAAATAATCACCCTACATAAATGGAGGGAAACACAATATGTTGAATTGACCTAACTACGTTTGCTTGCTTTCATTTGATGCATACAACTCATCTTGACATTGATGATTCTGTATCAATGAACTAAGACGTCTACCAGCAACCATGCATACTAGTTTGATAGTAGAATGAAGTCAACACAACGAGTTACTCACATCAATCAACTCATCAAATCTCTTCCAATCAACTCCAATCACATAATTGACCACAATTCAGCAACAATGATGGTCGATAGATAGATAGATAGACAGACAGATTGGAAGATGAACAAACAACTAATTACGAAATAGTGCCAACGCGTCAAATTTCCTGTTTACTTTCATATTCACCGCTAATTCATACGGAAAACAAAAAATGATTGATCAGTTCACCAATGAATGCCAAATCTCATTTGTAAACAAACAACAAAGACGGAAGTGAATTTCCTAGTACTTTTATCAATTTCTTCTCGAATGTCCATAACAAGAACAACAATAACAACAAAAACAAGTCATGTGATTAGTTAAATCATCAACACCAACAATAACAAAAACAGTCCTAATCACCATCATCATAATAATCACAAAACATAATAAACTCACGTGACAATCAAAACTTCCGGATGAAAAGCAAATAATCAAGCAAACAAATAACTAAGTAAACAGATCAAATACTACTACCAATATGATAATCAAAACAATAATAATAATAATGGTAATAATAATAACACTTACTGTAGTGGTAGTGTTCGTAATAAAACTACCGATTAATTTCAAGTTCTTATTCTCCATCCACTAATGATTTGTAATCAACTGTACACTTTATCTCACACACACATACATACGCAATCATGCTCTTACCCTTGTGTACAACCCATCTCTTTCTCAATCGCTCTTACACACACAATCCCTCAACATCTTCCCTCATCATCACTCTCTCTCTTTCCATCTCCATCTCCCGAAAGCTTATGACAACGTGATCAAACATCCATGAAGAAGTTGGTTAGTCTGCTACCTAGATCATTCAAATTAAACATTTAGTTGTGAGTAGAATCGAGAGATGACCAGTTGTATAATTCATGATCATGATGTTTACAATCGATACATTTCGAATACTTATATTTGAACAAACCGAAGTATTCATGAATTAATAATATCATAGAAAATTTTATGATATGATTGACTAATGACAACACTCAGTCATTTTATTCCCTTGAAGTATCTTCTGTTACACTTGTTCTCCCATATCGCGCTGCCTCCTTCCATTCCTCCTCCTCCTCCTCCTCCTCCTCCTCTTCATCATCATCATCATCATCATCATCATCATCATCATCATCATCATCATCATCATCATCATCATCATCATCATCATCATCATCATCATCATCATCATCATCATCATCATCATCATCATCATCATCATCATCATCATCATCATCATCATCATCATCATCATCATCATCATCATCATCATCATCATCATCATCATCATCATCATCATCATCATCATCATCATCATCATCATCATCATCATCATCATCATCATCATCATCATCATCATCATCATCATCATCATCATCATCATCATCATCATCATCATCATCATCATCATAGTCATTGTCTACTGATGTATTGTTCGATAACATTTAACTGACAGTGATATGTGCAAATAGTGGGCACATATTGCTGATTGAATCTATTATGAACATACTTAACAATGAAAAGTCTATCGACGTGTATAGAGAAAGGACAGCATCTGAGAAATTAATTTAGTGAGTTTTATACTAGACCAATGAAATACTACAATTCCACGAGTTTTCTTCCTTTCGGAAATGTAAACTAATATTTTCTAACCTATTCCACATGCATGTCCAAACCAACTCCATCTCACTGATGAATTTCTAACGAATCTGTTCCAGAAATCTCTACATCATACTGTTTAGTGAATCGAGTGATGAACAGTTCTTATGGATATCTATTGTGGATTGGAGAGATTGATTGTTGAATGATTAATCCGCATGACAATTTGCTATTACATACAACTTCCCTCATTCACCTCACTACGTCATACTACATCTGAAGAACGCACATGAGAAGTCGACCAGTTTCAACCTACAGCAATGACAACTGGAAAATATCCATACTTACTTACATTATTCGAATAACATGCAGTGACAAATGACGATGAATCAATGTGAAACACTCAACACATTAAAGCACAATACTAATCATTTATGAGCAATTCATTATTATAAAGCCATTGTGGAGATAGACTTATTAAACCTAGTTTATAAGCAATTTTTGATAGTTTTGCATTTATTTTGTGTATTTCCACATTCTGTACATTTAGCACTAAACAATTGTACTTATTGTTTAAGTGTATTACCTTGAACACTTGCTAACTAACTTCCTTCCGTTTCTGAATTCAACATTGCACGACATTGTAACTGCTCATCAATAACTACACTCTAATACACACCTACCTTGTTCTATTATACCTGTGGATATGATAACTGAACTATTAATTGACTATCGTCTACATTTATAGACTACTGTGACATACACATTACATTCTACTCGTGGAAAACTTTCTGGAGCCATACCCACCATATTGAGCTTATTAATTATCTTTAATTGTGGATTATTGGTACTAAACTCAACTAACAATGCAACAGTCAGCCAATTTAAGTAACGTTCCTAAACTTTTATTTGTGTTATGAACTAATAAGTTGTTTTATTGTTACATAAACTTTTGAATGTAGCAATCTTATTGCTATTTTTGGTTGATATACTTTTTGGTCCACCACACTATATCTAACTCCGCCTGTAGCTCTTCTAGAGTTACTGCCGGTCCCAAGCCCGGGTAAAGGAGGAGGGTTGGGCATGGGGTTAGCCACCCCATCCCGTAGAAAAGCTAACTCGCTAAAAAAACGCTAACCAGAAAAAATAATTCAATCCATTTAAACTCTGCCCTGGGAGTTGAAGGAATAATTATGACGTCTCATGATGAAAGCCGAAATTCTTCGGAAGTCACGAGACCGATGCACCTTCTAACAACCAGAGCAACACTCTTTATAGGTACATGGAACGTCCGGACAATGTGGGAGACAGGAAAAACAAGCCAAATAGCAATGGAAATGAGGAGATACAATTTGGCAGTACTCGGAATCAGCGAAACCCATTGGACACAATCTGGACAACAAAGGCTAGGTACAGGAGAGATGCTGCTGTACTCCTGTCACGAAGGGGAAAATGCGCCTACACTCAGGGAGTTGCTCTAATGCTGTCCAAAGAAGCACGAAATGCACTTGTGGGATGGGAATCTCATGGACCCAGGATAATCAAAGCATCATTCAGAACAAAGAAGGAAGAGATCACAATGAACGTTATCCAATGTTATGCACCCACCAATGATAGCAACGACGATGATAAAGATCAGTTATATGAAAGGCTGCAATCAATTGTAGCAAAGTGCTCACGAAAGGACCTCACCATCCTGATGGGAGATCTAAATGCTAAAGTTGGAGTGGACGACACAGGATATGAAGATGTAATTGGACGACATAGATTAGGAGAGAGAAATGAAAATGGGGAGAGACTTGCAAACCTATGTGCATTCAACAAATTGGTTATAGGCGGCACAATATTCCCACACAAGCGCATACACAATGCTACATGGATTTCTCCGGACCACACCACAGAGAACCAGATAGATCACATCTGTATCAACAAAAAATTCCGAAGATCAATGGAAGATGTGAGAACCCGGAGAGGAGCTGACATAGCTTCAGATCACCACCTGGTTGTGGCCAAGATGAGACTGAAGCTAAAGAAAGACTGGACAACTGGACAAACAGCACTACAAAGGTTCAATACAGCCTTCCTTCGAGATATTGACAAGCTCCATGAATTCAAGATAACTCTCATCAACAGGTTCCAAGTTCTACAGGATCTACTGAATGAACAAGAAACTATTTTGGAAGACAATTGGAAAGGGATAAAAGAAGCACTAACTTCAACGTGTCAGGAGGTTCTTGGTCATAAGAAGCATCATCATGAGGAATGGATCTCTATGGCAACCCTGGACAAGATTGAAGAAAGGAAGAACAAGAAACTAGCAATTAACAACAGCCGAATACAAGCAGAGAAAGTCAAAGCACAAGCAGACTACGCAGAAGCAAACAGGGAAGTGAAGAAGAGCATTAAAGCCGACAAGCAGAAATACATGGGAGAACTAGCAACGACGGCGGAAAAAGCTGCATGAGAAGGGAATATGAAACAACTATATGACACAACGAAGAAATTGGCAGGAAGATATAGCAAACCAGAGAGACCAGTCAAGGACAAAGAAGGAAAGACAATCACTGAGATTCAAGAACAGAGGAAAAGATGGGCAGAATACTTCGAGGAATTGCTGAATAGACCAGCCCCATTGAATCCACCGAACATCAAACCAGCACACACTGACCTTCCAATAGATGTCACTCCACCAACGATCGAAGAATTCAAGATGGCCATCAGACAAATCAAAAGTGGGAAGGCGGCAGGACCTGACAATATACCAGCAGAAGCACTGAAGTCAGACATTGAAATAACTGCAAACATGCTTCACCTTCTATTCAAGAAGATTTGGGAAGAGGAACAAGTGCCAATGGACTGGAAAGAAGGATATCTCATCAAGATACCAAAGAAAGGAGATCTGAGCCAATGTGAGAACTACAGAGGCATCAGTTTGTTATCAGTACCAGGAAAAGTTTTCAACAGAGTGCTGCTGAATCGGATGACAGACGCAGTAGACGCCGAACTTAGGGATCATCAGGCTGGATTCCGTAAGGATCGGTCGTGCACAGACCAGGTTGCGACACTACGGATCATCGTTGAACAATTAGTTGAGTGGAACTCATCACTATACATCAACTTCATCGACTATGAGAAGGCTTTTGACAGCGTGGACAGGAGAACATTATGGAAACTTCTTCGACACTATGGAGTTCCTGAAAAGATTGTCAACATTATCCAAAACTCATACGATGGCCTACAGTGCAAAGTGGTGCATGGAGGACAGTTGACAGATGCATTTCCAGTAAGGACCGGAGTCAAACAAAGGTGTCTTCTCTTCCCATTCCTCTTCCTTCTAGTGATTGACTGGATTATGAAGAATTCGACATCTGAATGGAAATACGGAATACAATGGACTTCTCAGAATCAATTAGATGATTTGGACTTCGCAGATGACCTAGCCCTCCTCTCTCATACACACGACCAAATGCGGATGAAGACTGCAAATGTAGCAGCAGCCTCCGCATCGATAGGTCTCCACATTCACAAAGGAAAAAGCAAGATTCTCAAATGCAACACGGAGAACACCAACCCAATCACACTTGACGGCGAAACTCTGGAAGAGGTGGAAACATTCAAGTACCTGGGGAGCATCGTTGATAAACAAGGAGGATGGGATGCAGATGTAAAGGCGAGGATTGGCAAAGCAAGAGCAGAATTTCTACAATTGAAGAACATATGGAACTCAAAACAACTCTCAACCAATTTCAAGGTGAGAATCTTTAATACGAACGTCAAGACAGTCCTACTGTATGGAGATGAAACGTGGAGAACTACTACGGCCATCATCAGGAAGGCACAAGTATTTATAAACAGTTGTCTACGCAAAATACTCAACATCCACTGGCCGGATACTATCAGCAACAGCATTTTATGGGAGAGGACAAACCAACTTCCAGCTGAAGAGGAAATTAGGAAAAGACGTTGGAAGTGGATCGGACATACATTAAGGAAATCACCAATGTGCATCACGACTCAATCCCTAACTTGGAATCCGGAAGGGATGCGGAAAAGAGGAAGGTCAAAAAACATACTACGCCGAGAAATAGAAGCCGATATGAAAACGATGAATAGCAACTGGAAAGAACTGGAAAGGAAGTCTCAGGACAGAGTTGGATGGAGAATGCTGGTGAGCGGCCTATGCTCCTCGACGAGGGGTAACAGGCGTAAGTAAGTAAGTACTATATTCAGGCGTGTTTGCAGATATGAACACAATTATGTATGTTTGTGTGAGTGGTTGAGTGAGATTTGTAGGAAATTTGATGTAAATGTGAATGAATAATTTCTACTGGTTGGGTCTTAATAAGTAGTATAATGAGTATAGTCCATTATGATTTGGTTATTGTTGATTAGATAGAATCTGGCTAAAAGGAATAGATGATTGATACAACTGAGGTTCGTAGATATTAACAAACATCAAATGATACATTCAATTTGAAATTTGTAAAATGGTGAATGAATTTGAGATAGATAGAAAGTTTCCTTATTCTGTTGCACTATATGTAGTTGTCAAATATGTAGAGGCGTGTCGAGTTGCAAATATTTGGACGCTGCCACGATGAGTGGTAGTGTATACGAATAAAATAAATTTATCATAGTTTTAAAGCATGAGTCAATTGAAGCTAGACCACCATGGAAAACCTGGAAACACTGGACGGCCGTTTCGTCCTATTATGGGACTCCTCAGCAGTGCGCATCCACGAACCCGCTCGCGCGAGATTCGAACCCAGGACCTACCAGTTTCGAGCCGAAGCCCTTAACCGATAGACCACTGACCTGGCATCCAACGGTGTTAATGTCTAACTTC